GTTTATGATCTTACTATCACCACTAATTCTAAATAAGAACTGTAATTAACAATCATGTGATCCTATGTTTATAACCTTTTTTAATATTTTTCGATAAAATTAGATGCAGTAGATGCTGAAGATTCCACTCTGTAACATTTGTACTGTTCTGCAATAAAGCACATTGTTATTTTCATTATTACTTAAAAATGTGTGGCATATAATAACAGAAATAAAAAAGAAGGATTTCGCTGTGGCTTCGAACGCTAAAAGGTGAGAGGGTGGCGACTACTAATCAGCGGATGTGATGGTGGGGAAATATGAGAACAACTCTTATCTGTGGGACTGCGCTGTATTTCTAAGGCTACTAAGTTTGAATGACTTCCAAGGGGTGACGATGAACGTTATCGTGATATATTATCGCGCGCTGTATGGGTTATCGTGTTCACGCCTATAGAGGCGTTATAAGCGTTTATTTTTGTGAAGGTAGATTATATATGACTGGTTTCAGGCCTCAGAAGCCGAAAAAAGCAATATTTTCCAGTATTGTGTTCGTATTAATGGATAAAACTGTCATGATATCCCAGAGGATGTACTACTTCAAGAACTCATCGCATATAAGAAATTTAGCATAAAAGACTATTATTTGCGTTTTAGAGCCGTAAAGGTTTGTTATTTGCTAGTTTTTTGAGGATATTAAGGTTGAAAATTAACTATAGGCATTGGTTGTTTTCATAGCAGTTATTCTATGATAATGGGACATTTGAAGGATAACTAGCCCACATACACAAGTTAAATGTACGTTTTGAGGATGCCAAACATTTTTTATCATCATCTGTGATGACTGAAATATTCCATAACACATCGAAGAGAGCATGTGATGAATGAGACAATCTGCTGAATTTCCTGGTGATTATATTCATTTCGATGAAGTTTCTAGTTAAAATCGCTCAGGTGATTGCAATTTATAACCTAACTTATTGTGCCTGTAGAGATGTCATGCATTCCTTGTAAACACCCGTTTATACGACATATTAAACTATTATTATTTGCTTGGTGCTGTACTTTAGAAGAGGAACAATGTGTGAGACAGTGAAAACCGCAGAAGAATGCTGTTATGACCAAAGAATGAGAAAGGAGAATGAATCTTTTTCAGCAAAGGTAGGAAAATGTAAAGCGTTTCACTTTTACATTACTTATTTCTAACTTCAACGATTTAAAAATTACACTTTATTCACTTGCTTGCAGATGTTCGGTGAAGTCAGTCAACCTGGTCACAGCAATTACGCATCCCCGAAGTAATTACGAAAAGCAATTGTGTAAAGACATTCGCTTATTATTTTTCATTAAATATATTTAACATCCTGCTTACCATAATTTTCTTATTCTATCTCAGTGAAACTAAATTTGTCATTATGACGAGATGGAGGGCTGACCTACCAATGAGACCTGAGGAAGTAATTGTAGGCATAATTCAACGTAAGCGAAGTCGTACTAATATCGCTACAGCTCAATCTATTAAATTACTCGTCTCGTGTAGACTTCATTTTACACCTGTAGTCATATGGATTGACATAACGCTTTAAGTGAAATAATAGTAATAACATACTTGTGATTATCCTTAACTTCATACGAAATCGAACTCAACTGCAGGGCCTAAGTTCTATTCTTAATTTTCAAATACTGAAGTTAGGGATTTTTGTCATTAGTCCCTACAGATTTACCTATGACTAGGAGACGTAATCGCGTGACTTTAGACAGATTTTTAGACTTGACTGAAGTACTTATAATTCAACACTTATATCGATGGATAGCGTTCCTACAGAATTTCACTTACGTATAGTAACGAATTCATATCCTAGGGAGCACCGGTCTAGCATGCCGTACTCCCAACGCGAACACACGAACAGAAAGACAACAATGTTAATAGGAAAAGTTTATTTTTATTGTAATACGAAAGTAGTTGGTTTACACATTAAGAAAATGGTCCATTTGTGCGATTACTTCTCCCGCGTAATCTGCGGCAACCACATAGTGAGTGCAGGACAACTACATTGTTAGCATTAAATGACTTCCTCACTTTTCGAAATTCTCCTAATGAATTCTCAAATTCTTCCTAGCTAAAGAAACGCCTTCCAAGCATTACTTCACCGAAAATTCCACTGGCGTCTGCAGTGCTTTCACTCGCATTGCCTACCTGCAATAAACTAAAAAGGCTTTGTCAATAAGTATCCATCTGTCTTGCAACTGTTTAAATATAATTCCGTAGAAAAAGCAATATTGAAATACATCACTGAGCAATATCCATCAATAAAATGCTACACGTATAACCTAAAATAGAGAAAAGCCCAAGAACCCACGGGTTCTTTGAAATCGCCAGTGACTGGCAGGCCAACAAACCGAGTGTATGCTAAACCAAGCCTTGTACATGCACAAAATAAGTGAAGGAAAACGTTAGAATACCCAAATTTTACATTCATATTCATCAAACATGCTTGCAAACAACGCATGCCGCAAACATACAAACCTGCACACGATATCACCTACCTGGGACAAATTAAATATCAAACTAGCCGCCACTGTGCTAGCCAACCAAAGCCGAGAAAACCCTTAAGCGCGGAAGATTTAACACGTTGTAACGTATATCATCACTTCTTCCAAAAGGTAAATGAATTAATAAAAAAGAAATAGAAGTAGAAAACTGCCTGAAAGCCAGAATTTAAATATAAACTGCCTGCATGCAGGTACATGGCATGAGTTCTCTACTTCAGAAAGACACCTAACTGTATACATCAGAAAGACAGTGGACATTATTCAATCTTTCGTTTTTCTTAATATTTCACGCACTTTCAATTTTGGCTTAAACTCACTTTTTCAGAGCATATACTTGTAATCACACTATATAAATACGTGAAATTATCCGTATTTTACTAATACACGCTTCAACTAATCGTTAGCTAGAAAGACTGTAAAAACGGTAAAGTAAAAAACGCTGAATCCCATATTTTTTGAATGCTGTTAATTCTGAATTATTAACAATCATTAGATACTTCTGTACCTCTCTCGCGCTTTAGTTTTGTCTTCTTCTGTTCTCAGAGGTAAGGCCTTTGACAAAGGCATTGATACAGTGATGCTATCCTCCACGTTAGTTTTGTTCAAATGAATTGTTGGGATCACTAGAACCTACACTTTTGAAATACTCAGAATATTGCTAGCACACGTGGTAAATTACGGAACCACCTTCGTCATGAAATCTGTTGACCAGTTCAAATTTGGTCTCATATATAACAGCAAACATCACAATTATGTTGTACCTACCGGTGGCTCTGAAATTTTGTAGACTTTCGGACACTTTATGAATCTTTTATCGATAATTATTGTTCATTCTGCATCTCTTACGTTTCACTTTATTTTTATTTTTTTATTTTGTTATAGTTTGATTCCACATCGTATTTTTCGTACAGGTATGAAATTTTCAGCATGCGATATCGGTAGCCCAATTTTAGCAGGCCGACCATAGATATCAGGTGTGCGTCGGCGGGGGATCGAACCTCAGACCATGTGCATGGTCGGCGAGAGTCCTAACCGCTGTGCCACCGACTTCAGCACCTGTACCGAAATGCTACTTACCTCCTGCTCCTAACGCAATCATTTATAATTCCCGAGTAAAATTGACTTGCAGCAGGTATATTGTCACTTAAAATCTAGATTTAACGCTATATCTTATAACTTATTAGACCGAAAGAAGATTTCAAAAATTGTCTATTTGGTTACTTGCTCTTTTTCAATATTTCTCTCAAACAAACCAGTGTCCAGTCTAAATTTAAATTAACATATCATATCATATATTCCTTCAGTTATAATTAGTGTACAAATGTTCATGCCTGTAGACACGGCTTGTTTCTGTTCCAGAAATAAATTATCATATTGCGATGTTACGGTTCAGAGGAATCTGTTTAAGGGAATGGACCTACCTGTTTGACAAATAGAACAGAAACAAGCAGGTTCAAAAATGGTTGAGTGGTCAGACACTTTACTACGGCAGCATTAAGTTGTTGAGTAGAATGGTGAGTGATGTCTTTGTACAAACAGTACAGACTGGAGATCTGTCCACAAGCATCAAGTCTTTATCTAGAATGGAACTCAAAAAATACTACAAAGAATTAGAAACACAGTCATACGTTTGAATCCTGATTTGGTCGGTTTATCATATGTGACTGCCTGAAAGGCCGGATCTCTTCTTATTATCCCATTGTCGGCACTGCAGAGACTCATCCGCGTTACACAGAATTTAAAAGAACGACTACAAGTCTTCCACACGACCAGTCTTGTCTTCTCTCACTGTACCGACTGCTCTATCTTTCCTTTGGTTGCCTTTATTATTTCACCTTTATTACTTCACTTATCTCAACCTATATTATCTACACTACAACCTGTTATTATTATTACTATTCTACTTTTATGACTACACCGAATGACTAACGGGTGTTAGGTCAAACTCCATTCACAGCAGCAACTGAGTCCTAACATACTGCACACTACAAACCACATCTTGACCAATCCTCGCACCACTCCTCTTGGAGTCTACCAGAGCTAAAGCAGTCGAGTGGCGGGATTTACTACAAGTTCACCGAAGATCTGGAACCTCTACCTTACAATCAAGAAGCGAGCTCAAAGAAATCACTGGTTTATACTAGCTCGTAATCAGGATATTGGATATTGGAAGTCTGATCTACTTTATCTTCCACCTTCAACAAGGTCATGTTAACTCGCAAGGTATGGTGTTGAGTTACATAAATGGAAAACAATCTACTTCAACTTGCACAATAGTTATTAACTAAGAAGCTAAAAGGATGAAGTTGTTTTATTTTATATCAGACAATAAATTGTGTCAGATTTTGAGCCCCTTGAACTATTGCCTACATTATCAAGAGAAAATAGGTAAAGACCAACAGAGAATTCAGGATTTTTTATGAGGCAAAAGTATTGTGTTTTAAGTATGTTGAAATTGAATGGGCAAGGTCAGTTTCTGGAATGCCTAGAATAATCAGCGGGTGATTGAATTCTCCTGCCAAAATGTGATGCACAATGTGTTCTGCAAAGGTCGCCGATGTTGTTCCAGCCGTTGTTGCCTGGAGTCTTATAATAGTCCTTACAACAGTCTACCTCATATTTATGTAACATGAGTTTTATAATAATATATGTTTCAACGTAGTTGCTTCCAATTTGCTGCGACATATTCCTGGTCTATATTCGCTCTCCACAGTATTCTGTTTTTGTATGTTCTCTGCTGTTTGACACGCACGACTTTTATGGACCCTGGTTATTTCCCCTTCGGTGAGTGTCTTCCTTAAAATTTATATCTTCAGCTACTGAGGGAGAAGCTGAATATGAAGAAACCAAGTCTGCTCCTGTTCATCGGGAATATAATATAAACGGAGTACTGGCTAAAGTCAAGTGGTGTAGCACTTGTCTTTTCTATCGTCCACCCAGGTGTTCACACTGTTCTATATGTAACCGGTGTGTTGATGTAAGTGTTCATATTAATCTCATTTCTTTTTAACAGACTTTTGATCACCATTGTCCTTGGGTCAATAATTGTATTGGAAGAAGAAATGCTCGATACTTTTTTATGTTCCTGGTCTCTCTTACACTTCATATGATTGTTGTGCTCAGCGTGACTCTCGCATCTCTCTTGCTGAGTGAGCAACCGATAGTCTTCTACACAAATATTATACGGTATCCTTTTTGCATCCGACTTTAAAATATGCATTCTTATCAGGCATAGGTTTCGTTTTCGTTTTTTATCTACAAAATACCTATAATATTCTGGTAGCCCAAATATCTCAGCTGAAATTTATTGTAATCAAGTCATAGGTTAATGTACCAATACTACTGTTGACTTTAACACTGATAAGAGACATCTGGCATTATACTTCAGAGACTTCTACGGTATGAGCAGCCTAGAAGTAACAGTTGCCTGCACACTTTCAAAAGCACAACAAGCTCACTTCAAAGACATAAGTACTACCAGCGTTAATTTTCTTGGCTCTGTATTTATCCAATTTCGGTTAACTCTTAAGACTGACATCATCTCCTTTCGTGTGCCTCAACTTTGTAACGCTGTAAATGTACCAGTGGGTAAATAACGAGATTTTGTGTCATTTGTGTTAGGCAGATAAATCAGCATTAAACTGTGCTCTGCCTGTGCAAATCTGTGTCAAAGGTTAACTGAAATCATCTTAGACTCCCCATGGAACATTTTCTTTAGCATCGTTGGTATTCAGTATTTTTGAGTGTCTACAGCTTTCATCGAGGCATTATTATTTAGTGTATTTAAGTCACATCGATCGATTACTATTAGTCATATACCCACTCATTATAAGCATGTAACGATTTTTACGTAGTGTGGTTTCTAGATATTTATTTAGTGAAAAATACTCCTTCAAACACGGGTTTCTCGTTTTCTACAGAATAAACGTATCTGGCTGTATCGGAAGCTAAAATCACTAAGTCTGAGGATAAATGCAAATGTCCACTAAAAATACAAATTTCCTCTGTAAATTGTAACTCATTACTCTTATTTCTGTTGCAGCAAACCCACAAACTTCTGTTATACGTTACAGCGCTTATAGAAGTTTGAGCATATTAATAAAAGTATCATGCTTTTGGTTTCTGAACGAATTTATTCACCTGACGCATGACGTTTATCGGGAAAGAAATTTTTAGAGTTCTTGACATGTATGATATCCAACTCGTAAATATTACCCCCAATAACTGAGGACTAGGATATTTTACTAAGTTTAAACGCTACGTATGGATTCATGTAGTGTATCCTAATGTGTAGAGACGAACTACGGAACTACAACAGTGTGTAAGCTTCTCTACTCCTGGCATCCAGCCTTACTCATTATGCTGCCATTTTAATCTATTTAATTTATCAAACGCCTTAACTCTATATTGCAGTATCATTATATTATCACTAGTTGGTGTTAGTTTCATTCCGGTCTTTGGACTAACTTCATTTCATGTTTATCTCATTTCTCGAGGAATGACAACGAACGAACAGGTTAGTTTCATTGACGAATAAAGTTAAGTGATTGTTTAGTTTTACTTGTGAAATATGATGTTTCTTTTCATTAAGTTGGCTTCGCAGATTGTTTCGATGGATACGAGGAACTACAGTGTCTAACAGATGTGCTATTTGACATTTTACTGATCTGAAATAATTCCCTCTTGCATCATACCAGTTAATATTCCTCGTCCAAATGCTCTAAACTAATAGACAAGCTCATCTCAAAATTGTAAAAATAAACATTACTGCACTCGTAGACTAGCTTTTTGTTTATTACAGATATTAGTGTAGTTTCTATATGCATCATTTCTGCGTACTTTATTATAATTCCTTCCTTACAGTTCAAACTATTTTGGATCAATTATTCAGCCTCCTATTAATTTTTTATATTCTTAAGCTTTTCGGTCCACCGGAGTCCCCTATAAAATGTAAGATGATGCTGCAGGATTGGACTTCATCGACCCCTAGATTAGAAATAGGAAGTGAAGTGGTAGAACACGTTGACCGCTTCACTTACTTGGGAAGTACCATCAGCCCCAACGGGTTGATCTCAGACGAAATATCAGCACGAATACAGAGGGCTAGGTTCGCATACGCCAGTTTTCGCCGTCTCTGGCGTAGACGCGATATCCGACTATCGACCAAAGGGCGTGTGTACTGCTCAACAGTCCGCTCCGTCCTCCTTTATGGCTGTGAGACCTGGCCATTGAGAGCAGAAGACATGAAAAGATTAGCTGTGTTCGATCATAGGTGTCTGCGTTCTATCTCCCGCGTGAAGTGGTATAATAAGGTGAGCAATATTGAGGTTAGGCGTCGAGTGCTAGGTAAGGCGGGGAAATCAATCGACGAGACTGTGAAATTACTTCGACTGAGATGGTTAGGACATGTGTTACGTATGCCTAGTCATCGCCTTCCTCGACGGGCAAAGTTAGCTGATATAGGGTCAGGCTGGAAAAGAGCTAGCGGCGGTCAAACCAAAACATGGCACCAATCAATGAAATCCACAACAGTTAATCTAAGCCACGTAGGAAGATGTAGACTTCCTGGTTGGGGCCCTCGGGATGGTAAAAACCAATGGTTGGAAACAATTGGTGACATGGCTCAAAATCGTTCTCAGTGGCGCAGATGCATCCACTCCTTGTGACTTGTGATTTCCAATTAAACTTTTGTTCTCCGTTATTACTATTCCTTTGTCTCACACCTCTGTTTACTGTCTCTGTTTTGCATTCCTTTTTACTTTCTTCTCTTGCTTTGCGTGCTACATGGAGTGTGGCGACTTGAACTGCCGCACATATGTGCAAAGTTCTATGTCGAAAACCGACCGACCGACCGGAGTCCAGGGGATCTAGTGGTATCACTATTTCTTGGCATACGTAACCAAACCTAGTACACAAACTGCCATGTGTTTGCCAAGGTGTATTACTGTTTATCCTTGCTTTTACAAATGGATTCATTACACTCTGTAGTTACTTACATGAGTTTAAGACGATCTCAGTTAAAGGTGTAATGTTTCATGCATTCACTGGTCTCTAAACTTGTTTCTGAATATTTTTCGGAAGACAACTTGGTATTAACAGTCACTAGTCCAAGTTACCACAGTCAAAGGCCCGCCAAATTAGAGGATAAGAAGAGACGTAAGGAGATCAAATGAAAAGAAAAGCTGAAGCGAAACAAAGGAGAGATAGATTTATGGATGTGTTTGCTACAGGTTGAGCAATAGTTCCGAACCATCAGTTTCGCTTTCCTACACATTTCAGACTAGTAGTCAGTGGCTCCATAGAGTGGCACAATTTTTTTACCTGGCCACCTTTTTTGTTCATGTATTAAGCATATCCTAACCACCTCAGACAAATCCTGTCTATAAATCCCCTAATTAGTTGTCCAGCTTAAGACTTTTAGATTGCTCTATATATAACTTTCTTGACTGAAGACAATTTCACGAAGGAAACAACAGTCGCATATGCGATTTGCCTATGTTCAGTCCAAGATACTTGGGGACTAGTTTGTACCGACTCCTAGTTTAAGGTTAGGTAGTGAAATGGTTGGATGTGTTGAACGCTTGACTTATATGTTGATTTTGATGAATCTCAATGGTCTGATTGTTTCAAGGAATCTCAGGAGACGCTCGTTTGATATATATTGTATAGGTACGATATGTGTACTATGCACTTTGCTCCGTCTTACTTCACCGATGGGTTGTGACCGTTGATGATGGAAGATATGAAAAGGTAAGTGCCTCATGTTACTAAAGTTATCAATACTAAAGTTAATGAAGTCAATCAATGAGGTTGTGTAGATCGATCTCATTAAATGGCTAGGACGTGTCACGCATGCTTTGATGAGCAATATTGATAGAGATAGGATTAGACTGGAAAATGGTTAAAAGTGGCTAAATGAAAACATGGCACCTCCTCGTGTAGTTGAGCCACGTAGCGAGGTGGAGACCGTCTAAACGAGGGTCTGTGGGATTCTGGAAATCCGTGTTTAGTTACATGGCTTGAAACCGTTCCCAATGGCGTAAATATTTTTACTTCTTGTCATCGTATATACTCGGGAAATTCTCACTAACTCCCGTATAGTCAGCAGTTAGCAGTCATAACTCAACCGTTTTACGACATATTTCAGTTATATAATCTAACAGAACTCAGTTATACATGTAACCCTTAGTGAACAGTAATCAGGCTACTAATGCTGATTCTACCACTTAAGTGAGACATTAAGAAAGAGACGTACCCCATCAATGATGATGGCTGTGAACAGGTAGTTAATAATGCTCATATGCTACAGGTACGGTGATGAACACACTGCTCTCGTTGTCTTCCTGTATGCTATTTGGAGTACAAAACTAGTTATTTGAAACTGAAGATAGTATAAAAGTATCTTAGGAGAAAGCCTTGATGGTGTGAAAAAGCACCAAATATAATGGCATTGTTTTTCTGGTGGCTCTATACCATTGGTGGATGTCCTCATCCGTTTGGTAACCCATATCTTTGAATGCATATGGTGGTCGCTTGACTTCCTTAGGTTTTCTCCCCTAAAAAGTGTATCTGTCCAAACCCGACCAGTATAACTGTCGTGAAAGTGAGTTCTATGCACATGACCTCGGAAAGTTTGGTTTGTGCTGATTCACTCTTATACACTAGGAAGATAGCTTCTGCTGTAATTTTCGTGGTGTATCTAATATGGTTAGAAGCTGTAGTTCTGAAAATAAATGTAAAACTTCATTTATCAGCAATCAACTAGACAAGGTTTTGACCTACCTAGCCACTAGGTACCTCATTTATGCTTAGCAGAACTCAAACCAGGCAATCTCAGTCAAATAAAAAGGTCACCGTGTGTACTTCTTTTAGGAGCATATGCAGCTAAAATATGTATAGGTGATGTTAACTCCTTATTTAAGCTACTGCCACAAACTTTTGAAATAAATGTAAACATCGGTCGGTTTTCGACGTAGAACTTTGCACATATGTGCGGCAGTTCAAGTCGCCACACTCCATGTAGCACGCAAAGCAAGAGAAGAAAGTAGAAGAAATGCATAATATAGACAGTAAACAGAGGTGGGAGACAAAGGAATAGTAATAACGGAGAACAAAACAGTTTCATTGGGAATCATAAGTCACAGGGAGTGGATGCATCTGCGCCACTGAGAACGATTTTGAGCCATATCACCAATTGTTTCCAACCATTGGTTTTTACCATCCCGAGGACCCCAACCAGGAAGTCTACATCTTCCTACGTGGCTTAGACTAACTGTTGTGGATTTCATTGACTAGTGCCATGTTTTCGTTTGACCACCACTAGCTCTTTTCCAGCCTGCACCTATATCAGCTAGTAATGCCCGTCGGGGGAGGCGATGGTTAGGCATGCGCAGCACGTGACCTAGCCATCTCAATCTATGTAACTTTATAGCCTCGTCGATTGATTTCTTAATCTACTTTTTCTCTTGTTACTACTTGTGCTGGTCATCTGAATGGATTTTGTGACTTCATTTCTTGACAAGCAAACATTTCTTACACGCTATAAACTACAATAAACACACATCACATTTAGCAGACAAACCTTGTTTCTCAAAACTATGTAGAGCACGTTGACCGCTTCAATTACTTGGGAAGTACCATCAGCCCCAACGGGTTGATCTCAGACGAAATATCAGCACGAATACAGAGGGCTAGGTTCGCATACGCCAGTTTTCGCCGTCTCTGGCGTAGACGCGATATCCGACTATCGACCAAAGGGCGTGTGTACTGCTCAACAGTCCGCTCCGTCCTCCTTTATGGCTGTGAGACCTGGCCATTGAGAGCAGAAGACATGAAAAGATTAGCTGTGTTCGATCATAGGTGTCTGCGTTCTATCTCCCGCGTGAAGTGGTATAATAAGGTGAGCAATATTGAGGTTAGGCGTCGAGTGCTAGGTAAGGCGGGGAAATCAATCGACGAGACTGTGAAATTACTTCGACTGAGATGGTTAGGACATGTGTTACGTATGCCTAGTCATCGCCTTCCTCGACGGGCAATGTTAGCTGGTATAGGTTCAGGTTGGAAAAGAGTAAGTGGTGGCCAAACAAAAGCATGGCATCAATCCATGAAATCCCTGACAGTTAAACTGAATCAGGTAGGGAGATGTAGACTTCCTGGTTGGGGCCCTCGGGACTCTAAGAATCAATGGCTAGAGACAATAGGTGACATGGACCAAAATCGTTGTCAATGGCTTACGCAGATGTATTCAGTCTCTGTAATCTTTCATATTCCTTTCTACCATTACTCATTCTGTTTCACTCTTATACTTGTCAAAACTCTATTGATTCTCTTCACTCATCTTGTCTACGTTTGTGTGCTCTTTGCAACGTGGCAACTCGAACTGCTGCACTTCGGTGCTAATTTCTATGTTGAATTCAGCCAGCCAGCCAGAATCGAGTTACGTAATCACCCTCGCTCCAATTATTGAAACTCGGGTGATTACGTTTCTTGCCGGTTGGACGATGAACGACTATTCTAATGAATCATGACCTGACATATAATTTAACACTGCCCAGTTTATGGACATAAAAATTAAGTTCACCGTGAGGCATGTTTCAACATACTTTGCACTTCTATTTAGGGGACAACATTTGTATCATTAAGGCCATATTGGTATTTTATATTCTAAAGTCATTAAAAGACATTTACTATTTTCAGTTGCATAAAAAGCACCTTTCCCTTCATTTTCGGACATACCGAGACGAGCAGGGCGCTCTGATATTAAAAGTAGTGGACCCTGAATTTTGATGTATTAGCTGTTTTAGACTTGTTTGCATAGTGTTTTGTTATTAAGGAATACAAATCTGTTCGAGAAAAAAGATTTCAATGGTTTTGTAAGTGGTAGTATTCTGTAAATGCAATTAGCAGGAGCGATTCACAGTGTAGTCTTTTGGAATGAGTAATAACCAGCAAATACATCGTACGACTTGGTATTCACGTAAAGGTCCGTTTGCTACTCCATGAGCAATGCCTATTGCTTATTGATTGGTTGTACCATCCTGCTGCTAACGTAAGGTAATTTCTCAGTCTGCGACCTCTAAGTTGGAAGCCAAATATGAAAAGTAATGTTTACTATGTCATCTCAATAAGCTCCTCTAATTAATAAGTTACCTGATTCAACTTTTCACCAACGAATAATGCAAATTCATTGTGGAAATTCCATCATGGATTTAAACTCTACCACAGTGCCCAAGTTCTATCCTTATTTCAGTGTGGAAAGTTTTGCGTTATGTGTAAGTCCTGGTTGATTTCAATCGGAATGTTGATAATTAACCAGAATTGTTGTAAACATGTTTGCGTGTAGATGTGTCAACGAATTACCCATAATATTCTTTCCCTGTACTTCTGTCACTATTGTTATTGTGATTATTATGTTTTCCTTTCAATCAGGTTACGGATAAGTTCCGCGGGCTAATAAACCCTTTTACTCTGGGTTGTTTATTAAATTGGAGGAGATTCTGTTGTGAACCCCAGTTTCCCCGGTAAGGCATTATTGAATAATTAACTATATGTATTGATTTTGGTCTTTCATATCAAGAATAATTACAGTAGGATTTGGTAGTTTGTTCCCTGGGATTTTGAAAAAGGTTACAAACTTCACTAGTGAATAGTCATTTATTTATTTTTTAAAATCTTATTATAGCTTGACTCCACACAGTGATTGTGACACAAGTATGGAATTTTCAGCATGTGATATCGGTAGCCCAAATTTTGCAGGCCGACCATTGATATCGGGTGTGCGTCAGCCGGAGATCGAACCCCGGTCCATGTACACGGTCGGCGGGCTTCCTAACCGCTGTGCCACCGACGCACCTCACTCCACTTGTGTTTGTATGTCAGTTTAGGAATTACGCTTACTTTAAGATGAATAGCTTCTCATTATCTGTCTTAAATGAATTCATTCAGACATCTGTGAAACACAAAATGATTGAGCAAAGAATATCCTTTTCGATAAATTCTTCTGGCTCTACAATCATATATATATATATATATATATATATATATTTATATACACAGAATATTCTAGATTAGTAGTCGATAACAATATTAGTGTTTTTTTAAATAATATCGGCTGCTAAGTGAAAATGGCTATCCAGAAAAGTTCATTGATAAGAATATGAATCTAAAATCAAAGCAGCCCAAGGTACCAACAGTCCCCAAAAGGCCTTATTCTTACAAATGCAGTTCCTTGGGGACAACATCAGCGAGATACTAACACAGCACCTTAGAAATGCAGTAAAAAGAGCATTCCCTGCTGCCGAATTACACTGTCTTCAAAACCACTCCTCTTTTGCGTTCGGGAGTAAAAGACAAACTGCCTAATTTCGCCTCTTCCATGTGTATCTACCAATTTAACTGCTCCTGTGGAGCCAGTTACATAGGCGTACAATTAGGCGTATTTCTCGTCGAATTTCCGAATATCGACCTGTATGGTTAAGCAAAGGACAAACAAAATCTATTCTCAGCGCTATTATATCTCATCTTGTGGATACAGAACACAAGGTTGACGTTAACCATGCTTTCGGGGTCATCTACCGCATACCTACGAATCTCAATTTTGCCTTAAGAGTTCGACTACTAAATATTGCTGAGGCTGTTGGGATACACATTAACAAGTTTCATTTGCATCCAAAAGAAGTTAGTTCAGACATTATCCTTACCTTGGCCATCTAGGTTTGAATTTTCCTGAATTTTTGTGGAATTTTCCTAATTTTAGTTGATATTCTATTATTATTATTATTATTATTTTAAGCATCTTTAATGAACTGTAATTGCATCGATCTTACTTTACAAATCGATATTATCTAAAAAAACACTAATATTGTTATTGACTACTAATCTAGAATATTCTATATATATATATATATATATATATATATATATATATATATATAATTGTAGAGCCAGAAGAGGAATTTGTCGAAGAGGATATTCTTTGCTCAATCATTTTATGTTTTAAATAAATTGGGTGAAGTAGAATTCGGACGCACTAATCAACAAGTAAAAGTCTTTTGTCGTGAGTGCAGATTAATACTGTTAGAAAGTTTAAGGAGGGTAAAAACTTAGCGACTCTATGCTTTTACGAGTCGGTGTTGAGTCATTGTTGTATTGTTTGTAAACATCGATCCCTAGTACCTCAAGGACTCTAATTAGGCACTATAAGTTACCCAAACAATCCTAATCTATCTTTTAACCCAATTAAATGCATGTAAGCACAAATAGTTGGAAATTGGAGATGTAGTCAGTACTACCGCATTCTAAAACCATGCTTGGGTTTCTCAGTCTTTTCTACTCAAAGGTATTGAATGATTGATAGCTCTAGGAAGATAAAAGCAGTGTTAATCTTTCTACTCTACGTGTGACCATCATAAACAGAGTGACCAACAGTCGATTTCGGTCGTTGTTGGGTATCTGTTTTATATTATCCCTAATCAAAATCCTTAAAATCATTATGATTCTGGTCGTTAGTTTCTGCCTCTTTGATCTGTTTCTGACGCGCAACCGCCTTCTCACAATTGTTAAAAAGTCATCGGGATAATCTATAATGCTGGTTAAGTCAGGATTAAAAGGAACTGAGTCGTAGTTATGTCCCAGTTAAATTATTTCTCAGTGTCTACACAACTTTCAGAGCTCCTGTTTTTTCAAAAAACAAATGGTTTTTGGTTATAATAAACGAAATATTGCCATATTGAGTCATAAGAAAAGGTGTAAACAGCACATTGAAATGAATCGTCGAAAAGGAAATTTTTGGTTATAGTCTTGATTATAGTCAGCTTTTCTGGATTATTTCCTGATTGACTTTAATTGGACAGAAATTATTACTTTTCATTTCCACCTACACTAACCATTAACACAAAATCGTAGTATTAACATAATCTGTCGGTGTTTAATTTATTTTCATACCTAGTTTTTTCTTGCAACCATTCCAAGTTGGTCTTTATACATTATCTAATTCAGATTGACTTTTATTGATATCCAGTGACAGATTGTTGTATTTACTAGTTTCCACGTTGTACTGGTTATAATATCTGGTCATATAACGAAAGTCCCTGTCACACCATATACGCTTTTACTTTTCATTTGGGTGTTTCCAATAGCTACAGTGCTTCAGCTGACACGAACAGTGTTAGCAGATACTTCTGACATAATGGCTATCTTTCACACGTCTCCCCACTATGATTTTTTATTTTATTTTTTATTTTTGATTACAGCTTGATGCCACACCGTATTTTCAGTACAAGTATGGCATTTTCAGCATGGATATCGGTAGCCCAAATTTTGCAGGCCAATCATAGATATCGGGTGTGCGTCGGTAGGGGATCGAACCCCGGACCATGTGTATGGTCGGCGAGAGTCCTAACCACCGTGCCACCGACGCAGTGTATCCATCAGCCAATTAGGTATCTCATTTCATACATGAAAATAGCACCAGTTAAGAAAAAGTGATTATCTGATCAAATTGTATGAGTCCATTGACTTGAAATACATTCTTAATTTGTGTTTATTTATACACCATATAAAAGAAATGGATATCATTGTACAAAATATATGTTACCATTAATTTCATTGCGACTAAACATTTCGTCACAGAGCAGACATCAGTCAGTATCATGAACCCTCACACAATAAGTATGTGTCATAGCGTGGTACATGAAGAAATCTGTTACGGGTAACTGCGTTCAAAAAACAGGGAACTATTGGAAACCAGGGTGTATTTGAACAGCTGTTTTTCCCCGGTTTAGGACTTTCCAGAAGTTTCCACTCATGACTCTACTAGAGATCGAACCGAGGATTTTCATATTACAACAGAATTATGTCACCATTCAGCCTTTAAATTGGAATCCAATGATTTCTAATTCCCATGAGCTCGCAATAAAGTGCTACCTTGACTGTGTGTCATCGTAGAGACGTGATATCCGGCTGTCGATCAAAGGACGTGTGTACTGCTCAGCAGTCCAATCCATCGTCCTTTATGGCTGCGAGTGAGACATGGCCATTGAAAGTGGAAGAGATGAAAAACTGGCTAGCTGTCTTTGATCATAGGTGCCTGCGTTTGAACTCCCGTGTTAGGTGGTATAACAGGCTGAGCAATGTTGAGGTTAGTCGTTGAGTGCTAGGTAATGAGGGAAAATCAATCGACGAGGATGTGAAGTTACACCGACTGAGATGGTGAGGACGTGTGTTACGCATGCCTAGCCATCCCCTTCCTCGATGAGCAATGTTAGCTGACATGTTGGAAGAGAGGTAGCTAGTGGTGGTCAAACCAAGACATAGCCTCATCAGTCAATGAAATCCATAACAGTTAGTCTAAGACACGTAGGGAGATGTAGACTTCCTGGTTGGAGTTTCCGGGATGGTACGAACCAATGGCTGTAGACAATTGGTGATATGGCTCGAAATCGTTCTCAACTGTGCAGATGTATTCACTCTATGTTGATTTATCATATCCAATAAAACTCCATTTTTCTTTCATATAACTGTTCTTTTTTGCTTACACTTCTTTTTATTATCTGTCTTTCGAACCTCCCTTTTCTCCCTTCTCTTGCTTTGTGTTACATGGAGTGTGGCGACTCTAACTTCTGCACATCTGTGCAAAGTTTTATGTTGAAACCAGTCAGACAGTCAGTGTGTCATCGCTGAATATTTGTCCTGACGTCCAACACAGCGGACTCCTCCGAACATCTAAACCTCTAATCTTTGATTTTTAATAAACTTATCTGTACTAGTTTTGTTTAGTAGATAGATCTTGATACATGGAGGTGATAATCAAGTTTAAAAAAGATATAAATCTTACCAGCACTCAAAACAGTAACATTCTGATAACCAATTCACGTATTAAACTAATTACGAGTAGCCTAGTTTTTCTACTGTTTCAGACTCAGCTTACTTTTGTCTAGATGATAAACGTATTTTGAAATCCAGCACAATGAAGAACCAGCAGCTTTATATTTCTCATTTGTATTGTATATGTATTAAATGCTCAGCAGGCAATGCCGAACCAAGATCCTGTTGCAAGCTAGGTATAACAGGTAAATCAGTAGTAGTGTTCCAACATAGTGATCAGTAGTAACTCATATCCTTCCAACCGTATTCATCAGTGTACACTAATTTTCACTCAGAATTCAAATGAACTAACCTTCGTTGGTTCCACAATTGGAAACAGTTTTCTCTTCTAAACAGATTTGACAGGCAAACGTTATTTTATTTCACAATAGTTATAGTTTCAAATGCCGCCACGCAAACACTTATTTAAGAAAGGAAGTAAGTCAGTCGGCTACTTTCAAAGTATATATTAAAATAGTTAAGACACGCGTACATATCTTCAATATTAAAATTGTTCCTTTCAAAAGCAGTAAGTACAGAAGCCTCGTAATAGTCAAACGTAAATGTCATCAAGTCATGAAGACATCGAATCTTGGTAATTGTCTGATGTGTGTTTGAAATTTTCCTGTCTCCAATTCTTGTAACTTAAAGCATTCATAGTCATCTGAATTAATTACAAATGTCGTATCAGTCTCGCTTTAAGTGCAAACCATATTGTTCTGCTTTAGTTAATGTGCGTTATTTGTCAATTTTATTTCACCACTAGTTCCCAAATTCGTTTTTACTGGTGGATTATTAACTGTGTAGGTTTTCAATTCTCTATTTTCATGTGATAAGAACGTCTCTATTTTATCGATGCCAAATTTCAACTATATGAGAATAGATAGTAAATTAGTATATAAACATTTTTTCATTCATCTGTAACCTGACTTTATAGACTTTTTCAGTAGCTGTTTTTATTTTGAGTAGGAATTCTAGTGTTCATTGTTTTTTCGTAAGTTGTACTAGTTTGAAAACAAATCTGATTGGTAGCATATTAATAAATTTATTTTAAGTACAATCTGTTATAAATATGATACGAATTAACTTATTTATTATAAAATGTTATGTCTTCACATGTCACTTAAGCCTAACTACATCTACAGTTCAAGTTTTTAAAAAGAATTACTTCGATTTAGATGTCAGAAGTATAGTTACAGTGCTCGCCTAGTCCATACTGACTGAGTTAACTATAACGTTTTTAGAAAATGAAAGCAAACAATATAATTGAGGTATTCACACTATTTGTAACACAATTTATTTATTACAAAGGGAGATTTCAAGCAAAATTTAGTGCGCTCAGCATGGTTGAGAGTTGACATGGAAGTGATATACAAAACGTTATTTGATCGCTGTTATAAGTGTGCCTGATTGTTCAAAGTTCATCGGATCATAAAACTGGTTGTCACATATCTTAGCTATTATAGTTCAGCAGGGGTATTTTCACTTTTGATATGACTTGCATTTTTTAACAATATAATCATTTCATCCCATCTCAATGCATCTTACCTAGTCCCATCTACTTTCACATCTGTATTTGTTAGTTAACCGATAATACTGACTTTCTGTGCAATTCTAGAGGGAAGTTTTTCATTGGTTTTATAGTATTTGTCGTCTTCCATTTACTCGTGTAGTTGTGTAATACTTTTGAAACCTCTTAATATGCTCCCTGGCTGTGAATCTTTGCAACAAATGTTTGCTTTTTCGGGATTTTAAGCAGTAAATTCTGCTTACGTTAACACCATTATTCAGCAGATAAATCTGCTAAAGAAGCTGTGGCTTACACAGCGAAACGTTCAAAAAAATCTTGTTTTGATTTTCTTAACACGCTGGGATTAATTTAAATAATTTTTAATGAATCAATCTCACTCGGCGCTCAAATTAACATCATTATGTTAAAGATTTGAAGAAATAAGTTCACGTGAGGAAGCATCTCTTTAGCTTTGTAATTGTAATTGTGCCTTCTTGCAAATCTTGAAATCCATTAGTTCCAAAAATAATGTATATGTAAACATCTGGACAGAAAATAGTACATACCTTACCGTAACATAAAGTTGCTCATGTTTTCAACGTTTCATATATTTTTGGAATTTCTACTGTTTATGTTCAGTTTGTTTGTCAGTTTGCGTGCGCTATTGTGAATTGTAACATTTCCAATTGTTGAACTATGCTAGATTTATGCATCAAGTTGAAAACTGCTCCATTCATTTGTAAATATACCGATTCAACTTTTTAATTTTCATGGTAATTATCCCATTTTTTGTTTGTTTTAATAATAGCCGCTATTTAGAAGAAAATGCAGCAAAATCACGCCGTATAGGATGTGCTAAACTAAGAAGAAAAAAATTTAATAAATTACATGATCTGGTTGTAAGTGTCAGTGGTTCTGAGGATGGTGTTATCAATACGCATGGAGAATCGAACCATAAACTTCTTATGGATCGTGCATATCACACAACTTCTGACAAGAGCACTTCTTCTGAAAGTAATGATAAACTTGGGAAAAGTGACTTAAAGAATTCTGTCATCCAAGAAAGACGATTTTTGGGTGGAAAATATTCATACTATCGTCCGCCTGATCAAAGTCAGGATAGTGCCCAATCAACCAATCAACTGATACCACGTGGACCGTTGGCGTATAATAGTGATGAACCATTATCTTCCCTTATTAACCGTTTAACATCAAATAATAGTGATATGACAGTGGCTACTAGGAATCACAAATTGGACATTAATAGTGATTTGTCTTCGACCAGTGAACAAAATGCTCGGTGTACAAATGCAAGGGTATGATCACTTCAAATTTTTTTTCGTTTCACTCCTACATGTTCTTTGTAATTATCTTCCCTGATTTAGTAATCATAGATTTCTGTCAGCTGAGATTTCTGTAGGGACTAGACAGTTTTGTATTCCTCATCAACAGCAACCTTTAGTTTTCATTGGATGTGATGATTTCCTCATCATAAAAAGCCCTATGATGGTAAAGTTCTGGTTATAGAAGTATTTGTACATTTTGCCCTATGAATCATAGTAATTTCTTACTTATATAAAGGAAATCCGAACCATAGAAACATTGTACTGTTTATTACCACGGCATGAATGAAAGAGTTTGCAGGTCACCGGTCGTTTTTTTCTTCTCTTCTCCAGCAGAATTACTCTGATTTATATGCTGTCAGATAATACATAACTATGGGGATATTTAAATTACTAAAGTGAACTTGTCTGAAAGTCACTTGTAGATAAACGCTTTCCAAATAATTAGTCATCACATATTTGTATTGGTGATGTCAACATATCATACTTACAGTACGTGTTTATTTGTCTGTATATGTGTATTGTTTATTGTATATAGAACATGTTAATTCATGAGTGATAATTACCATGATTGTCCAGAAGCTGAAAAACAGTAACGAATCGCCTTTATCTGTTTTGTTCGATCAGAATCTGTCAGATGTCTGATAATTTTATTCCTTCTCCCCTATTATATTGCATTCAATGTTGTTAAATTATGCAATACATCAGAGATCAACATTTCCTCATGTTACTGAAAATCTCTTCCTAGTATTTTAACACTGTCAAAATCAATCTTATGTCCACTTCATATAGGGGGGATCTCTATAGCTGATCTTGGTCCTTTTTATTGTCTAAAAGCAGAGCCATATGTGCTTTCTCTGCTCCACTATGTATGAGTACATTCCTGAGATAGCTTCTCCTCACCTTACTTCTTATCACCTGTTGGTTCTTATTGTACTGATATCTATTACAGTAAATTTAAGAGGTTATGCATTTATTATGGATTTTATTTGTTTATTTTCGGCGCTTTCACTGGTCCTCCTATTTACTTACCTATATTGTATGCTCAATGACTGGAAAGATTCCGTTTCACTTGCCGTTTAAATTAATTTCATTTACATGGGCGTAACTAAAACTTATTATAAATAGGTTCCTATTTGGCTGTCATGTGGTTTGATAGCCTGAACATGCAATTTTCAAAGTAATAGACTGAAAGATTCAAAATCAACTTCACATATTCCATTTGACCTGAATGCTGAAGTTATATGTTAGCCATTGAAGACAGTGAAATAAACAAATACATGTATGATTCGTAAATTGCACTTTTATTAAAAAAGGAAATGTAATCAACTCCACTGACTGCCAACCTATGCTCTGTTCGATTATGATGCGCAGAGTTGCTATTTGGTCCACAAATGATTTGCTTGTCTTGAATCTAGCTTGTTCGGGGTGAAGTGCATCTTTTATCCTCTGCAGCATTATGCCACTAAGTATTTTGATTCTCATAAACAAGATACATTTCCGCGCCAATTGTTGCAGAGGCCAAAGTATCCCTATTTCGATACTTTGACACATGTCATTACTCTCATCGCTATGTAGCATTCCTGCCTACAAAAACATTTTCCAATAGAGAAGTCAACATAACTGCTGCAATTTCTCGATCAATTTCCAGTGCTTAAGGAGGAATTCTTCACGTTGCTTCTACCTCCTGGCTTTCATTAACTTCATTGCATTCAAGACTACTGCCTTTGTAGTAGGATTGGTATCCACTGACAGTCATGTATTTCTGTTGGCGGTATATCTGAAAGAGTTGCAGGTGATGGTCGATTCAAGAGTCATTTGAAGTGATGAGCGCATTTTTTCTTTGTTTATCCTTTTTGGTAATTAGGTCCCCTTGATAATGTTTTATTGCTTTCCTCTGCATTGATCTCTTCCCGGAAAGAGATCTGGGTATCTTTTGCTTGGCGTTTGTTCTCCTTCACTTGACAGTATCGTAGAATTCTCTTTCGTCCAGCAGACTGAGTCTCCCTCTCCTTGAGAATGACATGAAGTCTATCTGAGTTTAGCTGTGTCGATCAGGTTAAATCCATGTCGTCTTGTGTATACCCTTGTACTGTTACACACTACCTCCAATTACCAATGCACATCATTGGATGCACAGAAGTCATTGAAGAGTTCTCCATTGTCATTCATTTCGCCGAACAAGAGCCTCTCGACCTAAGACGAATTATTCCGCTGTATTTCACGCTTCCAATTTAGCATTCATATTGCCCATTAGGATTTTGATTTCGTCATTTGGGACGTTATTTGTTACCGTTTGTTGTTGTCTACTGAAATCTTCCTTCGTCTCCACTGGTTCTGAGTTGTTTGTGGGCGCGTAGCATCAGATGGTTGTTACTGTCCATCCTTTTGAGTTTGATCTTGTTGTCATTATCCTGGGTGAGACTGGTTCCCACTGCATTTGGGCTTTGGCTGCCGTTGTCGACATCATGATAGCCACTCCGTCGGTGTGCTCGTGGTTGTCGTTTGAGTGATCGGAGTAGATTATCGAATCTCTGGTTAACAATTTGGAAGGTCTATACTGACTCCACCTGCTCTCTCAGATTCCTAGCACTTCCATTACATGCTTTCCCATTTCTTTTGCAATGTAGATATGCTTTCAAGCTTTGAACGTCGTACGGACATTCTATGTCCTGATGCTTTTATTTGCTTTGGCTGAATGAAGACACATCGGCTGACTGGCTTCCCGAAGGCTTTCATCGGCCCGCGTCATTTCGTCTCTCCGATTCGACTGAAGACTCTTTTCTGTTCTCTGAAGTTTCCATATCGATTGGATTGATTTTCTGGGGTTTGGTCGCTAACCCCACGCTTAGTTTACCTCTTTTGACACTCAGGATTAGTTGGAGAACAAACGAACCAGTAAAATAAACGAGAAAATATCTATATTGAAATCTTCCGAACAAAAATAAACGAGGTTGGATAATGGAATAGCTACTCTTTATGATCATAGTTGGATAAGTTGATTAAACTTCGACACTTTTTGGTAGATGGCGATAAGATGAGTATTACTTTGAACAGCATATATTAATACACTCACAATATATTAGATAGTTGGAGGCAATCGGCAAGAAGCCTTGGACTTAGGTTTCATGCTAGTTGGTACTCATCAGCAAGGCTTCCTGTCGATTGCCTCCAACTAACGTGTCAGGTGATCCACAACAGCGAATCCTTTGAAGTGCAGATAACAATAAGATAAGGCTGTCTACTATCACCGAAGATATTCCTAATTGTGATACACTTTATTATGCGTAAGACTGTGAGTGATGAGTGAGATGACAGGAATACATTGAACTGATAAGAAAACCCTAGGACATCTTGATTTCGCAGACGATTTGTATCTAATGTCACACAAACTGGAAGGCTTACAGGCGAAAACCAACAAATCGGCAGAAGAGGGAGGCAACAAAGACAGGACTCCAAGTGAATATATATAAGACTGAGGTGATGAAAATATCCAACAACAGCAAGCGCCAATAACTGTCAAGGGAATAACTTTGGGAGAGGTCACTTCACTTATCTAGGCAGCATCGTTTCAACTACAGGCGAGTACGGATAAACATATTGAAACCGGAATCTGAGAGGCAAGGCAAACCTTCATCACCTTGAAACCAGTTTGAAAATCTTCTCAACTCAGCATGAAGAACGAAATTCGGATTTTCAACGCCAATGTTGGATCACTTCTTCTATACGCGTGAGAAACAATGGCGAGTCACGAAAAGTATTTCCAACAGGCCGTAGACTTTTATCAACAACTGCCTTCTCTGACTCCGTTTTGAAGTTCAGATGGTCAGAAAATATTAGCAGTGAGAAACTCTGGGAATAAACAAGCCGATAAATATGCCGGCAAAATAGAGATGGGTCGGACATGCGCTGAGGTGACCATGAAATTACATGACTCCAGCCCATCGCTCGAGGGAAACCCTAATGTGGAACGACGAGTTGGGCGTCCGAAGTTGATGTGGAGGAGATCGTGTGAGGAGTAGACGATTGTCTATGGGTGATCATGGGGCCAGCCGAAAAGGGTCTCAGGGAACAGGACAAAGTAGAGACGCGGTGTTGAATCTATATATTCCCCTCGGAATCCAAGAGAACAATAATATAATAATAAATGCTTCATGATCATTAGTGGCAGTTGATATTTTTATCAATTAACTTTCTAAAATACTAACGTTCTGTCTATTTCGAAAAGTTATGTGTAAACCGAATTCTGTAAAGCTGAGGTGAAAATTCTGAACTTGGCAGTTTTTCTAAGTTTCTGATACACTATTTCAAGTAGCTATGCTTTTTTATGTAGTCGCTATGATTCGCTGTCAACCTATAAGCAAACTGCAACACTAAGCAGTCTTCGTTTATTTGGAAATTATGTTTTAATTCGTTCATGAAAAACCAGTGACCGAATGGTGCGGAAGTTGCCTCTTTTACTAACTAAAGCACATGGATTTATTTCACATACGACATAATAGACACATACTAGATAAGATGGAGATGGTAATTCAGCACTTATACAGTAACTGTGTGCCAATAATAATTAACCTAAAAAGTGGATTAGTAGCAGCTCTGCTAGCGAAAGTGAACTTTCCCAGTCACATGTGTGTTTCATGTTTACTCAGAATTTGGTCATCCTGGTATCTCTTTGGCCAATCGTCTTTCGTACGGGTCGTGCTAAGCATTCCCTGTTAGTTAAAAGCCGACTTTTCCTAAGCCTAACTAGACCAGATTTAATAATTGTTTCCAAATTACACATGCTGAATACAGTGATATTATCGTTTAGTGTAAAGTCAACCAGTTAATAAATTGTTAAACTGCATACACAGAATACTCAGAAGCCATACTGATGACTTGCTTAAATCATTTGGCTACCCATCGTTCTGTAGAGCATAATGCTACAAATCTGTTCAAATTTTTCGTTTCAACCACCTAATTACCTATCTCCTTGAAGAACAATGGCTACTCATGCGCATTTATGAATGAGTATGTTTTGAAGGAATAACACCGTTAGAAGTTGGAGCATTTTTCAGAAAGAATAATATTCTGTCTAGTGATGTACTTTACTTGAAGGTTGTGTACAAGGAGTAGATAAATGATGAACATTCTTAACTGTATATAAATGTACTGTCTAGAAAAGAGCTTGTGCGCGTCGGTGGTATAGCGGTTAGGACGCTCGCCGACCATGCACATGGTCCGGGGTTCGATCCCCGGCCGACGCACTCCTATACATCGCTGAGCCAGAAATAACGCTGGTAAAGAGGAAAGGTTGGGCTTGAGGCTAGCAACCCCATTTTGTAAAATAAACACTGCTACGAAAACTTCAAGCCGCTAGCTTGAAGCCCTATGTTCCACTGAGGAAAGTGAAGAAAAAAACACAAAAAAGCTATTTTTACTGATTCCACTATTATTGTAATATTAATTCGACATCTGTACAGGCTACAACTTCCACACTACTAAATGGCTTCACCTAAATCGTTTTCAAATTTTACAGGTAGTTTAAAGGTAATATATAATGAGGAATATCTTTCTTTCCCAAATATTCAGTGTCCATGTCTAGTAATTAGTGTCTTGAAAATGCCATCTCAGGATATTATACAAAGTGACTATAAATAAATGTATTGGCTGCTAAATTCGTCATTGTATATAGTATTGCTTTCATTTCAGTGAGGAGCGTGAATCGGTAGAGGTTGTGAATCTTCAACTGTGTCGTTAAACAAACCAAACCAAATTCTTTATACATAGGCTATATTGGATGAATCAGAATTCGTTAAGAAAAGAGTCGGTGGCGGTCAAATCCAGATGTAACATCAAATTATTAAGTTATGTACTTTTAATGGGTATAGGTTGCTTGGTCAGGGTTCTCAAGATTCCAAGAACTAATGGTAGTGATACTCACTAACTGAAGCATAGTGATCCTGGAATTAAAAGGTTATATTTATAAAGCGGAGCGAATTTCGGTAATGAACCATTAACGATTTTGTATTTTGATCTGGCAGGTATATTTTGTGTCATACCATTCAATGTTGTTGAGAAAAACTTAACATGATGATACTACACGGGAATGATCGTTTCAGCATTAAAAGTGTAAATGAGTATTTTTTGAAAATTGTTTCTCCTACTACTAAATGAAGTTCAAACTATTGTATTAATTCATTTAGAATGGAACATAGCACAGTAGCTTGTGCTAAGTAATTTAGCGTGTGAGGAAACAACAATTTCAACAAAGATGTTTCCCCTGAACTTTCTTTTTTCTCTGTAATTTACCCTGGCACCAAACGACTTGCTATCTCATTGAAACAGTAATAATCTATGTTTATTTTTTCTCTTAAGCCATCCGCTGATTCTCTTGGTACCTTGGATAGTGTTTCTCAACCTCGTGGTCATCAAAACTCATGTAATAACAGTGGTAAAGTATTAGTAGATGCTGCTAGTATTAGTCTCTCTGGTTGGAGTGAAGATGCAGTTTCACTGAAAACATTGGACCGTCTCATCGGCATTACACGTCAACAGACAGCTGGAGGGAATGACTACGGAACTGTTCTAATTAATGGTGTCGGTAGTGGAGCGACTACTGGTCCAACTTACTTAGCTACTGAACGTATTCAGGAAAATGGTGAATCACCTATTGGTTCCTCAACTTCGGCTCTAGAACGGAATATCCTGAATGATCAAGATTCAACGAATTTTACTTTTGCTAGCTCTCATATCAATGGCTATGCAGGTTTATCTGTCTCGGCAGCTGATTCAGTCAGTCAGCACTTAACTCAAACACTTCCTGTTTATCAACAAAATATTCCACGTGCATCTGGTGAGGTAAGTTAACAGTTTCATGGCAGGTAATCAGTGAAGAAGTTTATGGTATTAATAAATCGTGTTTGAAGGACAAAGTGATTTTATTGTGTACATTAGTTCCCGTTGTAACAATAACAGTTGCTATTAAGGCCATCTGAGATTGCCCAGGTTTGGTAAACTAATGTGACAGTATTAAATAAACAGTTTGTTTGTATTCGTCCGCGTAAAAACTGGCTTGAACTGTTGAAATGAAAATAAAATAAAAACTGCAGCCAAATTGATAGAGGGCTTATGCTAGTCCTCTAAAAGCTGTCGGTTTGAATCTTTTTTTGATTCGCCCATTATAATGAGGGATAGTAGTAACAGTTAATAATAATAATGTTTGTTGGGATTAAAACAAATTTATTCAGCCTTCAGACAAGAGACAGTGAAAGTCAAGTTCTTACTAAAATGATCTCGAAACATCTTTTCATTAAGTTCAGTTTTATAAGATGATGTATTGCCGTGTAACATTTTCATTATTCAAGTTTTTTTTTACTGTTTTCATGTGAACTGCTAAATTTGAATCTAAGTCGTTCAGTCCATATACTTTATTCTTAAACTTGCGGAAATGCAGTCAAGATGTCTGATTACTTATTATCACACTATTTATTGATGTCATAATGAAGAATTTAAACGGTGTGTAAATTTATCGGAAACAGTGTTTCAGGTTCCGCGTAATGGAAAGTTTTGAAACATACTCTACATTTATGATTAGTAGTAATAACAAAGATGATGAATATTGACAATGTGAAAGTTAATAAGTCTAGTTAAAGTTTGTATTTCAGTTTCTGGTAATACTTCCCCCTTTTTATATATGTATACATCTCTCCTCTTGTGTTTATAAATTTAGTTTTCAATGTGTTAATAACCATACACACGCTAAATCAGTGATCTACATTATCTATTTTAATTCAGAATGATTCCTATTGTAATCTCTATGCGGGAAGTGTTACAAGTGAGAATGATGAAGTTGTCAATAGTAGTGGAGGAGGAAGAGGAAGGGAAACAAATACTACAAATCATTTTATGAATACTCAACCTGTTTCTAATTTAAGCGATGCATGTAATGGTATTGATATTTCCGTAATATTCAGAGGTAGTTCTAATCTATTGCAAATGAATCGTAACCGTAGCAGTACAATGGTCAACAGAGTTTCATGTGGACGTAATAACAATGAATCCTCTTTAACAGTGAACGGGCCACATACTTCTACTGCTTCCAATAATTTAGGATTACTTAATAACCCTAATACATCAGCAATCAATAATAATTATAATCTGCAACCCAATCCTATTGAACTAACTCATATTCCGTCATCGTACAATACACATAATCATAATACACGTCGACCAAGTGCACAAGCTACACTTGTAAATCAAGGTAGGATTAAAGGTTTATGATTATCATTATTACATGTTTACAATTATAATCATCATTAATCATTTTCAATACTACGAATTTGTTATGTATGTGAATATGAGGACCTTGTAGACTACGAGCGAATCTAACTAATGCGCTGGCTAATCTGTCTTAATCGCACGTCAACAACAACAACAATAATACCGCCGGGCACGCAAGACAAATAAAAGAGAAGACTGGACGTTGATATGAGAGCTTTTACTGTCTCAAACAACAGTCGAAATGTTAAACAACAACTCCGTATTTATACAGTTAGAAAAATCAATGTCACATTTTAAAAATATTAACAAACCCTGGGAATTCAGTAATTTAAATCAATAATCACGCAGATGCGTGAAATCAATGATTATGCTAGTGTGTGAAATAAATAATGAATATTAATGATTCACCTGCGTATATATTACCTCCCCCTTTTAAAAGGAATCTTGCAAACAGTTTAGTATCTTTTTTCCTTGGGGTCGATTTGGAAATGAACTGTTTGTGTTCGTTTGCGCTGGGATCGTCGGCTGGGTAGCATCTCTTGTTTTGCTTCTGATTTGACTGGTGGTATTTTGAAGGTTTCCAGTAGTAATTCCAGTGGCAATTTAGGTTCTTGGGATGTAGTATATCGACGTCGTATCTGATTTTTATGTCTAATCCACCATTCATCCCCAACTTTAACCTTGTACATTAGAGTTCCATGTCGACGTTCTATCAAGCCTTCGGCCCATTTTCTGTTCCTCGGTCGATAATCGCGCACATAGACGGCATCACCCTTGCGGTAATACGTCAGACTATTTCTTCGTTGATGTGACGAAGATGGTAACATGGAGTGGTGATGAGTTCGTAGCATTCGACCCATTAGAAGTTCTGCAGGGCTTTTCTTCTGTTCTGCCAGTGGTGTAGTTCGGTATACAAAAAGAAAGTTTTGTATTGCTTCCGGTTTCGCCCCTCCCCCTGCTTTCAACAACGCTCGTTTGAAAGTGTCGACAAATCTTTCTGCCTGACCGTTGGATTGAGGGTGATAAGGTGGCGTCCGCACGTGTTGTATACCGTTTCTCTTGCAAAATTCCTGGAACGCTTGTGAGGTGAACTGACTGCCATTGTCAGATACGATGATTTCTGGTATACCGTGACATGCGAAGATCTTTTCCAGGACTGATACTGTTCTGCTGCTAGACGGTGGTGTCACTTGTACTACCTCCGGCCACTTTGAGTAAGAGTCCACGAGAACCAAGTAGTATATGCCTTCTATCGGCCCAGCAAAATCCACATGTAGGCGGGACCATGGTTTTGACGTGGGCCATGCTCTCGGTAACTCCCGCGGCGGATCTTTGGCTGCCGTGACAGACATCACCTTCAGTTTTTGAGCAGAGCCCGTCTTACGGGAGCTAACAGTTGCTACTTTGTTGCTACCAGACATCGAAGCACTTTTGGCGCAGCCATACTCACTGTGACGATTCGAAGTTGGTTTTTCATTAATCACGTCATTCTTTCTAATGGGCTTAGGTTTAATATATCTGTCTCTGATTTCTGGCTTTCTTGTTGAGGGTTCAATACTTTCTATCTTATGGCATACACTGCTTAACGGAATCTCTGACAGGTGCAGCTTCTCAAACCAGTCTAAACCCAAGAGGTCAAGGTTTGAATTGTTGATGTAGCATGTGCCGACGAAATGACTATCGCGAAAACCAACGTTGCATTTAATTTCTCCATTCAATTGAAGTCTTCCACCACATGCACTAATTGCTATCTGATTTGTCTTCTCTATGGCAGGGCATCCCAACTTCTGCCATAATTTCTTTGATATTATTGTAATGTCAGATGCTGTGTCGATTTGTAGGCGTGCCGGCCGTGTATTAATCGTCAGATCGATATATTTGCGAGGTGCTGGAGTACTAATATGATATGTGGCAGTAACACCCAAAGACTTGAGCTTGTTGCGCCTTCTGGGTCGACTACGAGATCTGGGTTGGTTGTTGCGTTTGCAGTAGCCATCTTTGTGACCAACAGTATGGCATCGACGGCATTTATGCTGTTTGAATGGGCACAATTTTGCAAAATGCCAGGAGCCACAGTGCCAGCAGGCTGATGGTGGTTTATGCTGAGGATGAAGCGGTGCGGTTGATGTCGACGGTACTGGATGCACCGCATGCACTTCTGCTGCATTTTGGCTGCCAGACTGCACCAAGACGGTATCGTTGTGAATGTTGATTAAACGCTGATATTCTTCACCGACGTCTTTCAAAGTCATTCGTGGATCTTGTTCCAGACGATTTAATAGACGTGTGCGTATATCAGCAAATTTGGGAGACTGCAAACCACAGATGAAAATCAATACCTTGAACTGGTCTTCTGAGAGTGATTTTAATTTAAAACGTTCACACGTGCGATTGACTATACCCAACTGAGTATGGATATCATCATTTTCGTTCAAAACTAGTTTCATGCAATGATATCGAATGTTGAATAACGATCTCTGATCACCAAACTGATGACGAAGGGTATGGACAGTTTCATCGAATGATCTTTCACTGGGCTTCTGTGGCAGAATTAAGTTGCAGTATTTATCTAGCTCATCTGCTCCCAATTTACGAAGTAGAAGCCGTACTTTCCAGGCATCATCTTTATCCGCAAAGTCTACTAGAAATAGGTCTTCATATCTGCGAAACCAGGTATCAAATGTTACGTTCGCATCTGGATCATAAACGAATTCTGAGATGCTACTACCAATGCTGTCGTTGGCTGTAGATGAATCAGCAGAGCGTGATATTTGTAGACCAGCAAGCATTTCCATCAATTTTAGCTGCTGTTCCATTAGTTTCTCTAAACGCAGTGGGTCCATCTTCAGCAAACCCGTCGCCAAATTTGTTATGTATGTGAATATGAGGACCTTGTAGACTACGAGCGAATCTAACTAATGCGCTGGCTAATCTGTCTTAATCGCACGTCAACAACAACAACAATAATACCGCCGGGCACGCAAGACAAATAAAAGAGAAGACTGGACGTTGATATGAGAGCTTTTACTGTCTCAAACAACAGTCGAAATGTTAAACAACAACTCCGTATTTATACAGTTAGAAAAATCAATGTCACATTTTAAAAATATTAACAAACCCTGGGAATTCAGTAATTTAAATCAATAATCACGCAGATGCGTGAAATCAATGATTATGCTAGTGTGTGAAATAAATAATGAATATTAATGATTCACCTGCGTCATCATCAATAATCATTTTCAATACTACGAATTATTCATTATTTTATCCATTAACTGAATACAGTTTGATCGAATGTTATATTAGCTAACCTGAAGTGGTTGAATGCGCAATTTTCCATAACGAACTTTTACCACTCAAAAATTTCCTTTTATTCCCATGTCACATATATTGCATGTGTAACCATGGCGAATAAGGACAAGTGAAGTCACAGAAACGGTTGTATACGTTCCCTCCAATATCATATTCAAAGAGTTCCAGTGTTCTTCCGCACCGGCTTCCTCACCGATTCTACGTATTGCCTCTGACTTTGCTCTGGTGGCTACAGTGAAGGTGTCTTTTGTAGTTTTGTTCTTCAGTTTCTAAGTGTTGAACGTGAACTGTGGTTTGCCACCAGTTGTTCTACAGGATCTGAGCTTCACTTTGAGTGTTTCATAAACTAGATGAAGGTCTGAGCGCACAACTAATCCCTTCTCGATGTTATATCCAGCAGACTGAGTCTCCCTCTCCTTGAGAATGACATAAAGTCTACCAGATTTTTGGTGTGCCGATCAGGTCAAATCCAAGTCGTCTTCTGTAAAACATTGTGCTCGCACATTACCATTATTCACACTGAGGTTCCGAATGGAACATAGGACATCAACAACACATCTCCAATTTGTTCTCTTCTCTGCTGTCCCCTTTAGGTGTGTCCACGATTTACCACAATCTCTCACTTCCCACAGACATTCATCAACAGCTGCCTTCGCTCTACACTAAATATCAGATGGTCGGAAAGAACTAGTAACAAGAAACTTTGACGAATCGGCAACCAAGTACCTACTACCCAACAAATATAATGAAGGAAATGGGAATACGCCGAAGACACGCTGAGGTGACAGTTGAGTGATATCACGCGGCAGGCTATCGAGTGGAGTCGAAATAGGAGACGACGAGTCGGACACCCGAGAATGACATAGAGAATATCGTGAGAGGAGGAGAGAAAAGCTTATGAGCAACCGTGGAGCCAGCTAGAGAGGACCGCAGAGAACAGAACGAAATAGAGATAATGAAGCCCTATTTCCCAGTCGAAACCGAAAGTAATAATAATAATTACTATTCTTGAGACGTTGCTGACCAACTCACAGTACTTTCAAGTGTGAATTTGGTCAAATGATAGTTTGAAATTCTTACCAGTTTACGCTTGAACTAACTTTTTCCATCCAAATCGGTCAGATCCCATTGCGCCAGTTAATTCGATAAATTCTAGTATGAAGTTTCTTACGCTAAATTGTTCTTTATTTTTTTCAATTATGTTAAACTTTCCGATGAACATGTTCCTTTTTTATTCAAGAATATAGTCATATTTGCACGGTAGAATAGGAATTCCCAGATTTGATCAAATGAACAAGTGATACTGTCAGTTGTGAAATTTCACTATCCATAAAATATTTAGTCCTGATCTATCAAGTACTTAATCTCGATACAACTTATGTCTAAAATTAGCGTTATCAAAAATAAAAACGAAAGAAAACTATCGAATGTTCAACGCATCAAATAGAAGAAAATATGATGAAGGGAGATACTACAAATATACATGTATATTAATCAATTGACGAAAAAAATTTCATAGCGCCCCCAAAATAAAAGCAGCTGTGCAAAGTTATAAACAAGTAAACACAAACAGACAATTACACATACAAGTGGCATATCTGTGTAAAAATATTTCAGCTTACTTTCCAACTCCTACCACTTCATTCTCTTTACATATGCCTCAAGTCAGTGTGAAGGAGTAGTACAGCATTATTTTGCTTTTCACAACGGTGAATTTTGGCAAACGTCTTCAGATTTTTTCTCAGCATGTTCAAGGAACTTTGGTTTTTAATCGTCTTCGTACTGTTTAGCCTTAAGATTTGAAACTTTTCCTGGCAACAAATTGATTGCCGATACATTACTTTTATTTAGTTGGTTTTGAGCTTTATTCCTAGAACTCTGTAAAAGTTTCTACCTTTAAAATGTGTGGATTTATTCATGTTTTGACGAGAACATTTATTTATATCTATTATGGGAAATAGCCTGAAAATGGCTGAAGTATACTCATCGTTCCGATGACCGAAACTGCTTCACTTTCTAATGAATATCGTTTATTTGTCTAAATGTCTTAAATATCCTTTGTTTAATATTTTTTTATTGTAAATTTTTGAGTAAAAAGTCAGTTGCTTCTAGAGGAAGTAAGCAGAATCACAAGTATGCATATGGTTCGTGATCCACACTTATAAATCCCTGGTTAATGTAATACAGCAACCAGTGTAAGTTATGCAGTAAAAACACTGAAGCGGTAAAAGTTGCTAGTATTGAGGCTTAAATGGAAATTTGTTTGATCAGACTGTTGTTCTAATCCTGATCGTAAATTAGAAACAATTTTTCATCTTATATTTTACAGATATTAGTCACCAATGAAAGATTAGGCTCAAGAAAAGGCAGTTTAGCCTACATAAAATATCCACTTATATATAGGAATTGTTCATAAATTGGTTTCTGAGTATTGATTTTTTACTGTAGTGCTTTCTTAGATGTTCAGCGAACTGGAACCTGCATGGCATTTAGTCTGGACGCAAAGTTGATTTGATACTATGCTAAATTACAACTAGTTATCCTACAGTGACTGATATGTGTGAGGTGAGACCTATATAGCTATCCAGCTATGTCTTTGACATCAATATTACGCAACAAGTTAACGTACTTCTAGTTGAGCGTTAGCATTTTCCTAGTCATATATAACATATAATGTATAATGTATAACATATATCAACAGAAAAATAGCTTATTTCTTTTAGTTTTTTTACGATTAAATGCACATCTGCTCTTTGATCACACTATATACACCCTACAGCTTCAATCAAACAATTGTTTTCTTTTATACTTAACTATGAATTAGTCAATTTATTTACTGATATACCTTTTTTTCAGTTTTCTGTGCACAATCGTCCGATCAGTCACCTAGTGCAAGTCGTTTCAGTTTTATCTTTTCTCCACTAGACGTAAATGCACCACATGCTTCTCAAGAAACACTAAGTACAGCTGCATCTCAGACATCTGTCCTACTTGGTTCACCGTCTAGCCCGAGAAGTTTTCAACCTGCTAGCACTTCAACAGATCATTTTACAGTGACTCTCAATGAAGCTAGTAGTGAACTGCCATATTGTACCAGTCGAACGGGTACCATGCTGCCATCATCCCGTATGCCAAATTAATTTTTTCTTTTACGTTTATTATTGCCATATTAATAATAAATAATTCAATCCTTGTGTTGTTGGTTTGATCTGTGGTTGACTTTATTGACTCCATTACATTTTCTTCGTCGTTTTTATTAAATAAAACAGTCAAATTTCAATTGGACATATGCGTATTTTTTAAAAATCAAAACAGGAAATTCCCCCGAGTTGCTATGTACATTGCTTTTCAGCTATGTAGTGATTTTATTTATGTTAATCCTTCTGATTGTTTTAAAAAATGAAAATAATGGGTCCATATAAGCACATATATTTACCACCATGCGCGCACACAAACTTTTCGCAGTTGATATCAGTCTAAATTTTAATTTGTTATTACTTTTGTGTTTGAAAGCAGGTCTGTTCCCTTGTTTTCTTTATTGTTTGCAACAAAATTTACGTAGTAGTAGTCTTTTAACCACTTTTCTAGTATACATTATTATTTTCACCACTAAATAATATTTAATATAATTTTTCCTCCACGATTGGAGACTAGTTCATTCATTCATTTAATCTTAAAAATGGAATAAAAGTGACCAATGTCTAGTTTCAAAAATGACAGAAAAAATTATGTGAATACAAATTCGTGTTGCACTTATTTACGCCTTACTAGGTTGACTTTCTCTCCCTCTATTATTTACCAGATTGAATGTTGTTTTGTTTTTAGTGATGACTTTTTGCCCATTTACAATTTTCGTTTAAACCTCTATCATCCTTTCTACAACTCTTTCTATAACATCTTCATTGCTCTAAACATCTTGACAAGTTCTGCCATATAGATTACTCCCTACTTTTGTATTCGTTTTCCCCTCAGTTTAATACAACTCTACACTTATCTATACTACCTTTCGTCTTTTTTTACATATATATACTACTTGTATGTGTAATTGTCTGTTTGTGTTTACTTGTTTATAACTTTGCACAGCTGCTTTTATTTTGGGGGCGCTATGAAATTTTTTTCGTCAATTGATTAATATACATGTATATTTGTAGTATCTCCCTTCATCATATTTTCTTCTATTTGATGCGTTGAACATTCGATAGTTTTCTTTCGTTTTTATTTTTGATAACGCTAATTTTAGACATAAGTTGTATCGAGATTAAGTACTTGATAGATCAGGACTAAATATTTTATGGATAGTGAAATTTCACAACTGACAGTATCACTTGTTCATTTGATCAAATCTGGGAATTCCTATTCTACCGTGCAAATATGACTATATTCTTGAATAAAAAAGGAACATGTTCATCGGAAAGTTTAACATAATTGAAAAAAATAAAGAACAATTTAGCGTAAGAAACTTCATACTAGAATTTATCGAATTAACTGGCGCAATGGGATCTGACCGATTTGGATGGAAAAAGTTAGTTCAAGCGTAAACTGGTAAGAATTTCAAACTATCATTTGACCAAATTCACACTTGAAAGTACTGTGAGTTGGTCAGCAACGTCTCAAGAATAGTAATTATTATTATTACTTTCGGTTTCGACTGGGAAATAGGGCTTCATTATCTCTATTTCGTTCTGTTCTCTGCGGTCCTCTCTAGCTGGCTCCACGGTTGCTCATAAGCTTTTCTCTCCTCCTCTCACGATATTCTCTATGTCATTCTCGGGTGTCCGACTCGTCGTCTCCTATTTCGACTCCACTCGATAGCCTGCCGCGTGATATCACTCAACTGTCACCTCAGCGTGTCTTCGGCGTATTCCCATTTCCTTCATTATATTTGTTGGGTAGTAGGTACTTGGTTGCCGATTCGTCAAAGTTTCTTGTTACTAGTTCTTTCCGACCATCTGATATTTAGTGTAGAGCGAAGGCAGCTGTTGATGGAAAGTTTGTTGGAAGTGCATATGGTGACACTCCAAGTGTCTTGGCCATATAGAATCGCTGTTTAGCTGGACGTTAGTATTGAAAATTTGAATCTTCTTTATGCTGAGTGAAACATATTTCTAGATTTATTTAAAGATAATTTAGGTCTCTCTTTCCTTTTTTATTCTTCATTTAACATTTCCATACGTGGCACCTGTAGCTGAAACAGTGACGCCTTTGTAAATGAAAGTGATAACTACCTTCAAATTCTTGGTACTGAATCATACTTGCTGTTGTTCGTTCGTCATCTTCACCACCTCTATGTTCCTGCATTCTCTCCCTCTTCTCCCAACTCGTTTGATTTTACATTCAAATATCTTTGAGATCAGACAAGTCACCCGAAATGCTCAAGACTTCTAGAGTCTTCTTTGCTCGACGAATTCCTGGTTTCTTGCTCCCTGGTGCCTGATGCCGTCCAGCACGAGCAGGGATATCGGTGATAGTAGGTAGCCTTTTCTTACTACTTTATTCACTGCAAAGGCTTCTCTGAGTTTTCAATTGTGAATCACTTGAGATGCAGTGTAGCATCATCATGTAACTGTTGAATGGGGCTGATAAAGATTTGGGGCACTATACTCTAAAATATGTAGGCATTTTCCACACTACTTCGCAGTCAACACTGTCGAAGGCCTTTATAAGGTCGATGAAGTTGAGGTAAATTGTTGACTTCCATTCTATGCTGTGTTCGATGATGAGTTATACATCTATGGAAATTTTACAAGTTATTTGTTCTTCCAGTCAGCAAGTACTTTTCCTTCGTTCCAACAATCTACACATAGTTTCGTTTTCTTTCCCAGTTGGACAAGTTGACAACGTAAAAATTACCCCCTGCTGATGAACGATGATTAAGTTGTTACACATAAGCTGGGATTTTGTAAATTCTGGTTTAATTATACTTTAAAGCTATTAGCATTGAATAGCGAAATGTCAGTAAAAAAAATATCCTTTTGATTTTCATTCATTGGAAAATACAAAAACTTTTATTATAATGTCTACCATATACTCAGTGCCAAAATTTTTTTCAAACTGTTAAAAGTGAACTTGGTTTGGACATTTATAAGCAGCAGTAGTTTTCAGTTTTTCAACGTCAATGACGACCCGAATTTTGTATCTCACAGAAAAGATCCCAAAGACAAGACACTTCTGACAGTCTGACTTATAGCATCAGATTACTTCCATTGTTACTTGTGCAGGATTAAGAATTCTGTCGAAAACATTACCATTCATAGATTAATTATTCGCTATTGAAAAATAGTAAAGGAATCTTTACTTACAATTAGATATAGACATATAGGTAAATTACGTATACCATATATTGAAATTGTCAAGTGGACAGATATTCCGTATTGTGCTACTTTTGCCCTTCCTACTGTGTTTCTTTGTCTTCTTTCCGTGTCTCTCATGACTTGCCGCATTACCGATTCATTTGCTCTCTTTGACGTCAAATCTCTGTCTTTGCTACTTGATATTTTTGTGCTGATGGAATTTCTATATATACTAATGATAAATCTTGTCAGTAGCACACGCCAGAAGTCAATAGTAGCTATGCAGAACCTATTCACGATATTTGGATTGAATGTATTATCTTTACAACAGCAAAATACTTATGCTATTACGTTGGTTACAACAGGTGAAAAGATGATATTACTATCATGAGTTGTAGTAGTAGTAGTAGTAGCGTGGTGAGAGCTGCTGCTAGCCAAAGTTGGTAGACAGTAATTTACGTCAATGTTTATGTCCCTAATATTGGTCGAGAGAAAAATGAGAACAAAGGCTTTGCGTAAGCGGATACAGTTAGCATATAGATGATCTGACGTTCAAGAAACAGCCACAAAGAGATGAAAGATTAACTTTCAGTGAAGAAACAACCATTCAGAAGACCGTGTTTTTCTGCTAACAATAATCGATAATAATGTACATGGAAATCCAAAAATATATGTTGATTTTGTAAATAAACGATCTGTTGCCTGGTCCTTGTCTTATTTTGTTACAGTAGTAGTAGCAGTGTGTGTAAGTAGTTTAGTGGTAGAATACTCTCTAGCCATGCGAAAGGTCCTGGTTGGATTCTCGACCAATTGACTCCTAAACCTAACCTAGGGGGTAGAAAGCTCGGGAAAGTGGGGAGGCTAGCAAACTCTTTCTGTGAAAACTACACTACCACTACTGAAACTTCAAGGTTTGAAATGAAATTGAAAAAAAATAGGAGTTCCAGTTGTGTCCTCAGGACCTTAGTTAAGTGGAGTAATATAGTAAAAGAAAAATGTTACACAAGCGAAAATCAATTCCCATGAGAATGTATTCAATAAAAACTGAGAAAAATAAAACTTGAGGAAATGCTAAAGAGATCAGGATATTCTCATGCATTTTCGGGTTGTCCTTATAATTCTGTTTGACTGGTCAATTATTTTTTTAACATCCAAATACTTTCATTTTCACCTTGCATGCCATTTAAACTCATTACAACTGGGATCGGTTTACACCAAGTGTTTTATTAATCTACTGAGATTAGTTAAAAAGTATGTTGACTGTACCGATTGATTCTAGCTTTTTATGCTATCAGTCATATAAAAGGCACCAATAAAACAATGAAATAAAATAAACCGTAAATAACTTGAGATCGGCTGCTTGTTAACTTGGTGTACTCAACATTGTGTTCTGAAGTGCAGAATTTACTGCACATTACGTCTGAACTGAAAATTTCACTTTCTTGATCTTGAAACAGTAAAAGCCATAAAAGTTTATTCGTTGTACAGAATCATGGAAAGTGTCATATCTCAATTTTTACAAGTTTTGTTACCAAATACCTGGTGACGAAATTACAAAACCGCACACAAACTATATGTAAAAGAGAAAGAATTGAAAATGAACTTATTACCACGGAAAAGACTAAACAGATTTTTTTCACTAGAAAACACCAACTGGGGACAAATAAGTGTGAAATCGGCAAGACAAAATCTATCTCCATGAAAATTCGTTATAAAGGTGATGAAGTATCACCAGCGTCCAAATAAGAGGAATTGATGAATCTGTTGTGATAGTTACTTATTATCAAACGAAATGACAAATATGCTTGTCATATATCCTGTGAGTGTATGAATTAGTCCACACTTACCAACGAAAAGGCTCAAATGCTGAACGGAAACAAGGGCATGTGGTCGCATATTTATCTATTAATTTCCAGAGCAGTTTGTGAATGAAAGTTGCTTAAGTCTTTAAGAAGGTCATGAAAATATTTACTTTTATTCTAAGAATAAATAAATTTTCACTGATATGAATATAAGTGTGTAAATTACACCACAACTGAAATGAATGCGATGTAAAAGCAGGCAATAGATCCATAAATAAGATATTGTGATTTCTTTCTCTTATGTTCTCTTCTCTCATGCATACATTGTGTCCACAAGACAAAACTATGCAGAAGAAATCTATAATCGTTCTCATGCAATGTAAACAGAGATAACATAAAGTGTCCAGAAAGATTTCTGCACACTTACTAATTTTAATGAGGTAAACAGGTAAATGTATGAACAAGCATAAGAATAATAATATCTATCAAACACTGTTATCAGTGAACCGAAGTCACGAATAAACGTGATTAAAGTATTCATACTAGAAATGTGTGACTGTTGGAAAGCAAACAGTAAGCTAAATAAAAGTAGAGAAGGTCAACTTCATTTTTCCTTTTGAATACGCATATAAAGCTGACCGTTACCAAGGTTTAACATTATACTTAATAATCTTTAAAAGTCAAAGTGTTGATCATTGAATTTATTCTAAAATATCAATAATGAATGCATATGATGCAAATATTACTGTCATTAAAATAAAAGTGCATAAAGAAATCCATCCACACTTTTTTAAACAGTGCATGAAGTTGGCATGCGTTGTAATACATTTATTCGTATCACAAGCCAATAATATATATAGTGTTTTGAGACAATAAAGGAAAATATTCTGAGAGTACATATTATAACATTTCCCGCAATTCTTATATGAAGGCATTTTAAGTGGTTTGTGTTTGCATAGTGACCTTTTAGGCGTTGTGGTGTGGTTTATCTAATGTTACCATCACTCACTCAATACTGATTTGTTTCCTTGATTTAAGCTAAGTCACTCTTGTATTAATTTGTCAGGTCGATTTCCATATAACTCGTGAGGTTGATCAAGTACCATGCATCTAGAAATCCAGAGTTTTTGAGTCTACACGTTATGGCATTTCTGGCTTTTCATAGTGAACATGTACATTATATCTGTTCACATGTGTTAAGAGATGATATATGATGCTAATTGATTGCTAGAATATTCTGGTGAGATCTCTGGGATAATCAATATTTGTATTAAGCAAAGTAGTGCTACTGACAGACATTCCAATCAGTTTAGCAGTTAATAAGTTTCACTGGTCAGAATTCACAAATACAATCAGTTAAAGGAACTCTCAAGCAAACTAAAACAGCCGACGCAATGGATTATCCACTCAATTAACGGACATAATTTTTAAAAAAGATTAAAAATATGTAATCATCAGTGAAGTAGTTGTCCTGTTGTTTATTATCACAGCCCTAAACACCTCAAGTCAACTGGAAAAGATACAGTGACCCTCTTATTTTCTGTTGACGCCAATATTTCAGGACACATGAATATGCGATGTTCAAGTGTAATGAAGATAATAGTTTTGTTCTATACAAACTTTTTTCACTTCAGAGGTAAATTCTGCAAATAGCAGCAGTACGATTAAAGAGGCAGTGAATCACAGACTTGGATCTGTTATCTTATCGAGGATAAAACAGAAACATTAAGTCCACAACGTAGATGGCATGCACGTTACAGTCAAAATGGCCAGATAAGCAAACTGCTTATAATATTGGTGCAGTTGTGTCTAGTTCACGAGCAAATATGGAGCAAATTTTAAATCCCATTTTTACGTATTTTGATTGCTGTGACCGGTTATCGAAAATTCTGAATGATATGTCAAATAAACTCGTCTAAAATGGAATTACATC